AAACTCTTGACGGAATAACTTTTGTTTATTGGGCACAGGTTCTGCAGAACTTTCATGGGCATGTGTTCTGGATCGACCAAAAGGAGACAGTGTATTCATGTGTTCTGCTGTTGTAGAAACAGAACCAATTGCATTAGGGCTTACAGGATCCCCAATATCTAGACTTGGATCTGTTTTATCAAAGGTTGATGCAAATGGATTGTAGTGGGGTTTGATAGACGATTTAGTCAAATCGACATCAGATAAGGGACCAAGATTGTTACTTCCTGGTAGATTTGATGGAAATCTCTGGAAAGAGGGATAAACCAAGTTACTTCCTGAATCCAGATTCCCAGGAGGTTGGTGCTGACCATATGGAGGCTGATGAGATGAATAAGATAGACCTACACCAGAAGGCTGCTGGTTAGAAGGAATTGCTGGTGGGAGAGTATGATGATGGAAATTGAATGGTCTAGGATGAGACACATTTTGTGGAGGGTAGCTTCTCATCTGGTTCTGCAGGAACTCATTTGCTGGTGCAATAACTTTATGCTGGAACTGCATTTGAGGGAATTCTGATGTTGCAAATGTTGGTTGTCCTGGTGGCTGAATCATATTTGAGGATGACATGTGTTCAGGAGGACACAAACTCTGAGGATGAGGATGGAGATGATCAGACGCCATGGAACTCTTGGTAGTTTGTACAGACATATATGGGACACCTGCAGCAGGTTGGCTCATAAGAATTGGGTCACCTGCTGATGAAGACACAATTAAGTCTGATCGAGACTCCGATGGGGGGCATGGCCCTTGCATCTTATGAGTACCAGCAGAAGCAGCCACTGGTTGTGAATGCTCAGAAATTAAATTGTCACTGTGACAATGCTGCCCAAGGGCAACATCAAACGCAGCATTATCTCCCACTTTGCCAATTAAATCATTAGAAGAACTATCCAATTTGGATGTCAATGCCAGGCCCTCTTGCTGAGCAACTTTACCTCCTGAATCATTGCCATCACCAGCAGGATGAACCCGCTTAGCAAATGGTGGCCTGCTCTGCTTTCCAGGTGAAGAACTGAAAGAAATTTAATACTGTTAGACTTCCAAAGGGAGCAAGATATACATATCGAATGCTATAACTTATAACAAATCTAAATACAGAAATACAATTACACAGATGAACTGATGCATCTATTTAAAGTTCAAGGTAAGGTACAAGGCATCATACCTTTGGGATGGGCTGCACTTGTTTGCCCCAACTGGACTACCACTTCTACCCTGAGGTGACTTGCTCCGGGTTCGTTTCTTTTGTCTCCTCCCATGCCTTTTACTACTTTGACCTCCCTCAAATTCACTGTCACTTGTATCTTCTTTGGCCAGATGCCCAAGCACATCTGTGCCATGCTTCACTGGGTTGCTCTCATCCTTCAGATGATAATTTTCAGCCTTACCATTTTGCTCCGTGCCATGAGGGGTATTCACATTTCCTTTTGCATCAACATGTTTCTGATAATCGACCTCAGTATTTCGATCACTTGAATGACTCTGCATGTTATCTTCAGGCAATATCACGAGGGTGCTGGTACCCTCAGGACCAGCATCGGCCTCATTTGCACTGTCATCGGAGGCATAACCTTGTATTAGTTGGAATGCGCTCCCACCGTCCTCAGTTGCATGCGCAGTTTTAGCATTCTCACCACTACCAGGTGGCAAATCCTTGCCCGGGCTTGAAACATCACTGATAGACTTTGACACATTAACATTTCCAGTACATTCAGCAGTCACGAGCGAAGAATTCTCTGGGGTAAGGGGCTGCCTTGATGGAGAGTCCTCATCCCCTGGAAATTGCCATGATAAAATAAATGTTTAGAAACATGATGAAGTGAAAATTAAGCTGAAATGCCAAAGTCAGGTACAACATTCATGCACAGTGATGTTTTTCATCGTATGAACTATCAGTTGTCATTGCTGCGACGCCAAATGCAGCAGTGTGAATAAAAGTGCAAGTTTCAAACAGAGTAATAGTATCACTGTACTGAGATGAGGGAGGAGGGAAAGGGGAGTGCTAACCATCCATATCCATATCTGAGTCATCAGAAACAATTAGCTGAGTAGCTGCTTCCAGAGTTTTGGCAAAACGACCACCATCAGATGCGCCTTCTTTTGCTTCTGCCTCTGCGACCCATGACTGTGCAACAACAGGTGTGTGAGGAGACTGTGATGCTGGTGGCGGCGGCGGCGGCGGCGGTGGTGGTGGTGGAGGAGGAGGAGGAGAAGGCGGCAGGGCAGATGGCCGAGGTGGCGGTGGAGGGAGGGGCGGATACTGTGGAGGGGCCTGATGCATAGCTTGTTGCGGAGGCAGCATCCCTGGCATTGGCATCGGCGCATAACCTCTCTGCTGGGGCAGCATTGGCATCTGGTGCATCTGACCATGCTGCGCAAAGGGGTATGGCTGGTTCTGCGGTGGCAGCACGCCATGCTGGTATGGTCCAGGCGGAGGCCGAGACCGCAATCCAGGGTGCTGTGGGTATGGCGCTGGCGGCGGTGGCACAGGTTGCTGGGGAAAGGACCCAGCCACCCCGGCTTGCTGCTGGGGCGGCGGCGGCGCGCCATGGCGATAGTGTGGATTGAAGCTCCCTCCCTGCCCGTACATCTCTAGCTCCGGAATCAATCAATCCCTCGCGCGAAACTTCCTGCAAAGTTCAAATTCCAATCAGACCTTGTCAACAGTCGGCGCCGAATTAAAACCAAAAGAAAACCACGCACACGCAGACACAAGCTATAGCGCGATTGGCCTGCTGAAATCACCTCAGAAATTCCAAACCCTAGATCAAACCGAAGCAGGGATCAAACCAATCGTAGTAGCATCGGCTGCATCGCCACAGACAGAGCAACCAAGGAGGAGGAGGAGGGGTTCCGCGATTACCTGCTACGAGTCCGGAAACGAGACCCGCTGCGTACTGCAGGAGGCTCGGATTCGGGTCGGAGCGGAACCCCCAGCTGCTCGCGATGGCCTGCGACCCTCTGGGGGCCCCGGCGCGACGGGGCGGAATCGAGCGACGACGGCGCTAGGTCGCTGGGGTTGGCTAGGATTGCGAGATTTTGGTTTCGCGGTGCGCCATGGGCTTGGAGTGAGCAAGGAGAGCCTGACCGGTCCGTGCGACGACGGTGCTAGAGAAACTGGCTTTGGGTTTACAACGGGAGGAGAAGGCAATGGCGGGGCGGAAGCGGCACACATGTTGGAGAATCTGGGCCGCAACTAATGGGCCGGAAGGTGAGGATCTCCCACGAAGAATAAAGGACGAGGTAAAGGCCCCTCTCTCTCTCTGGACCATAGGATTCAATCCTAATCCTAATAGAATTTTTTCCTAAGTGAAAGTGATCTTTGAAACAAAAGGTTGGTCATCCTAAAATCCTACAAAATTTCAATGGAATGGTTCGATTCATAAGAATTTTGGGGAAAATTAACCTCTTGGAAACTTTATTTGTGTCTCTCTCTCTTCTAATTCTTGTGTTCCTCCTGTATTGTATCTTGTGGGTTCAATTCTTGTAGAATTGCAAGTGACATGTAACTCTAATCATATGTTTTACATATCTTGTGTTCCAAAGAGACCCTAAATATATTTCTCCTTCCTTTTTTTTTGCAAAAGGGGCTTCTTCATGATTCATTAGATAAAAACTGTAACTACAAAATCCTCCTGATGCGACACAACGAAGGAGAAAATAAAGAAGATCCGGAGAGATCTGAGTAGTATTTTTCAGATAACAAGAAGCTGTGAACACCATATACAAAGATAAACAGTCTTTATATTCCTTGCCACCAAGATAGTTCTTTGTACCTTGGTAATATATGATTATGACACTATACTCACATTTTTACAAAGATAGTTCCTCTGTGCCTTGGTAATATATGATGACACACTCTATATTCGTATTTTTACAAACCCTGGTCCTTCTATTCGAAGACTTCATCAATATTTTTTCTTGTGGGGACTTCAGAGTATTTGCACAACAACCAACTACACTTGAAAAGCCAAACTACTGTTATCATTTTAATGCGGTCTTTGTTTTAATTATCGCTCATTACCCTCATGGGATACATTGCGCAAGTGACCAAGCAGAGCTACTTGAACGGCTTTGCTTTCAGACTTTCAGCACAGCAAAATTGCATTGCATACGCCAAGAGCAAGCAAAGTTTTACTTGAACAACATGTGTGCCAGACTTCCACGATGATACAGTTTAGGGTAGCTGTATTTTCCCCTAGATAGGTGCAAAAGTTAACAAGTCAACATGCTTTGTTAGCAAAAAGATCTTCAATGTGTAAACTTCTTACACATACTAATATGAGGCCCACAACAAATAAAATTTGTGTCCTCTTTGCGCCGGCTTAGAATACACAATGGAGCTGCCCTTATGCATCGACAGCGATGATAAGATAACTTTCTTTTTAGCACAAGAACCAATGGCTTCGTCACCAGCAATAAGGTACAGAACAAATAGGCAAACTCCAGCAGAGAAATGACTAAACACAGATCATACTGTCACCGAACTGTATGAGATAGATGCTTTCGTATAGGAAGTATTCATTACACAGGTATACGCCCTGTTCGTCTGGGCTTGTTTGGTTGATAAGCCATGGCTGAAAGTACTGTTGGCTGATTTAGTATAAAAGAAAAATATTGTTCGTTGGCTGAAAAAATACGACTTATAAGCCAAACAAGCTCAAGCGAACAGGACGATATTTGCCGAGTACCTGGTATCCTATCATAACAATTTTGTGTTACAATTAGAAATGAAAGTGGTAATATAGAAATAAATAATTGCATAGTGCTAATTAGGTTCCCTCCATGACTTATAATATCTAAAACATGAGATTTTATAGCTCCTAGTTCAGGACTACATTCATCCATATGCTTCTTTCCAAGTATATTAGCCAATACTCAAAAACGTTCCGGAGAGGCTGTTGCAAAGGAGATAATGCTTCAAAGGTGAACTTTCCTTGTAAGGTTTATGAAGAGTTTTACTTTTGAGTTGAATTGCTCTCTTGCACTGCCTGCATCTGCAGCAATTTCCACTGCTCCTCGTCGTTCTCTTCCTTTGGCTCAACCTTGGGTGGCTTCGGTTTTGTGGTGGATTGCTGGTAGAGCACACCACCTGACATGCATATCAAAATCCCAATGGTACCCACAAAAGAGGCGTGCTTGTCCCAGATAAGCAAATTAATCACAACAGTTAGGAGCTTGTTCACTATGCCAAGCACTGTGAACCCAGTAGCAGAGATAGCCCGTCTGCAGGAGAATCCGAAGAAGGATATTGATAGTCCAAACAGGCATGAGAGAGCAACAGGGAGGACCACATCAAATAATGAAAGCCAGTTTGACACTTTGGAGCTGTCGACCTTCATCTGATCAAATTCTCCCATTACAAGGAGCTCAAGGGGGAATAGCATCAAAGCCTCAAGGTTGTTGTATAGCACAAGGCCCCATGTGTTCAGCCCAATGGTCGTTACGACGTGCTTGATGTACACGAAATCAATGGACATGCTTGCTAGGTAGGCCACTGCCCAGGTGTAAGCAGTCACAGTGAACTGGTTGTCTGTGAAAACATAGATCACACTTCCACCAAGTATTGTGGAAAGTGAAAGCCATGTCTTGAGTGATGGCCATGACTGATGAAGATACAGTGTCTCTCCGATCGCAACAAATATAGGCACAGCAGAGCGGAACACAATGAAAGTATCCACATTGGCATGAAGCAAGAGTTCACTATTTGTGAAGATGGAGATATAGAACATAACAGCAGCAGGTAAGAACTTCCACATTGTCCTCAAATTAAGGCCGTCGTGCTCAATGAGTTTGAGCTATCTGTTGGCCCACAGGATCACCGATTCAAGTGAGTGAACCACTCACCAGTCTTGCCGAGCACCTGCTAGTGTTGTCGAGCACCCACTAGCCGTGCCGACCACGAACAAGCGTTATCCGTCCCCACACACTATGGCCAAAACTAGAAGAAGAAGGGAGAACAAAGCATACGCACACAGTACAAGACACCAGCATTGGTCGAAACCCTGTCCGGGAGATGGCAAATCTAAACTCTCTTTACTGAGTTACCATGTATGTCTATTTATACAACTCTATCCATCTAGCCCTACTACAACACACATGCTGTAATAGTAACTAGATAACACAAATAGGTTGACTCTGTCTTAAGCCTCTACATGTGGCTACAGATCTTTGCCGTGAGAGCGAGCGCTCGCCCTCGCACTGCAGCTGACTTACTGATATCCACAAAGAGGGGTCTTTTTCGGCGCGCCTTCCCTTTTTGTGTTCACACAAGATAGTAATAGATTATCTAACAATCTTCCCCTAATCCTACTGCTAACCCTTGTACTCCCTCCATGCCGATAATCTCCTTCAGCTCCGTGAGTCGAAGACGTCCAAGCGACTTGGTGAGGACGTCCGCAAGTTGTCGACCAGTTTCGATGAACTCGATGACGATCTGTCCTCCATCGACACAGTCCCTGAGGAAGTGAAACTTCACGTCGATGTGTTTACTCCGGTCGTGCAGAACCAGATTCTTCGCGAGGATGATGGCGGGCTGGTTGTCCACCATCAGTGCTGGTGGGTGAGCTTCCATACCGATCAGCTTCGCCCGGCCAATTGGCGACGTAGCCACACACAACTTGGCACGCCACCGTAGCCGCTACACACTCGCCTCGCCGCGTGATAGCGCCACCATCTCTATTTCAAATGACGACCATGAAATTGGGGCTGACCCGAGGAAGACGAGCACGCCAGAGGTGCTCCGTCGTCCGTCGATGTCCCCTGCCATGTCTGCATCGTTGAACACAGTGAGCTGCAACCTACTTTCACCGTTTTTGGGAAGATGATCCCATGATCCACCGTCTCCTTGACGTAGCGCAGTAGCCGCTTCACCGTAACCCAGTGATCCTCTCTGGGATCCTCCATGAAGCGACTGACGTAGCCCACGGCGAACGCAATATTCGGCCTCGTGTGGACTAGGTAGCGTAGACCACCGATGATACGTCGGTAGAGTGTTGCATCCACCTTCATCGCGGTGCTGGCCTTCGTTAGCTTCAGTCACTCCTCCATCGAAGTCACGCATGGCTTGCACTCAGTCATGCCGCTCCTCTCTAATGTGGTGGTTCCTCAGCACTGACGAGTAGCAGCTCTGCGTCATTGAGCGACCTACCCGCCAAGCCTGAGGGACCTGTGCCATCGACGATGTCATCCAGCTTGCGGAACCGCACCTCCTCACCTTCGTGGTAGGCGTCCACAAACTCAGTGATGTCATTTGGAGGTGAGGCGAACTCGATCGGCGTCGATGGAGTTCCCTGATCCGCTGGAGTGCTCGTCATAGCACCTAGAGTGCTCGGCACCCTGGTTGCAGTTCTCGGCACTACTTCTGGACAGCTTGTCATAACTCCTGCAGTGTTTGGCCACACTGTAGGAGTGCTTAGCCTCAGTCTTGGAGTGATCGGCACCACTGCAAGATGTCTTATCTCCACCACGGGAGTGCTCGGCACCCGTCCTAGAGTGGTCGCCACCACTGTAGAACCTCCCGGCACCACTCCTGGCGTACTCGGCATCTCTCTAGAAGTGCTTGGCACTCCTCTCGGAGTGCTCGGCATTCCAGCACCTCTTCCCCAGCGTCTCCACCACCGTGGATAACCAGGTACTCAACGATGAAGGTGTTGGTGAAGCTGCCAGCTTCCCTCGTGCTCGGACTGCTCCAGTCCCAAGCCGCCTCCTCATCGAACACGATGTCGCGCGAGACAAGCGCCTTGTCTCCACGTGGGTCGTAGAGCCAGTACGCCTTGGTACCCTCCGCGTAGCCTAGAAACACCATCGATGTGCTCCTGTCCTCCAGCTTGGTGAGGTTCGGCTTTGTCTTCCTGACATGGCCGATGCAGCCAAATGTCCGGAGGAAGGACACGCTCGGCTTGCGTCCATACCAAGCTTCGAACGGTGTCTTGCCCGTCAGGGCCTTGGTTGGAGAGCGGTTGAGGATGAACACCACCATGGTCACCACCTCACCCCAGAACCTTGCCGACATGCCTTTGGCCTTCATCATGGATCGAGCCATGCCAACCACCGTCTGGTTCTGTCGCTCCACCATGCCATTCTGTTGTGGCGAGTATGACGTTGTGTGGTGTTGCCCCACACCCTGATCCACGTCGTACGCAGTGAACTCCACTGAAGTGAATTCGCCGCCACGATCAGTCCTCAGCACGCGGAGCTTCTTGCCGCTCTTGACCTCCACGCGCATCTTGAACTTCTTGATCGCCGCCGCCGCTTCGTCCTTGCTCGTTAGGACTTACAGCCACATGTAGCGACTGCAATCATCCATGAGCAGAACAAAGTACCGCCGACCACCATTTGTAGCAGGCGTGATCGGCCCGCAGAGGTCGTCGTGGACGAGCTCGAGAGCGTCCTTCGCGCGATACTTGGCTGCCTTTGGGAAAGGTAGCCTCCTCTGCTTTCTGGCTAGGCAGCTGTCACACAGCTCGTCTCCGTGCTTGATGTGGGGTAGCCCTCGGACCATCTTTTCTAGCCGACCAAGCGCGTTGAAGCTGAGATGTCCAAACTGGGCATGCCACATCCGTGGTTCCTCAGAGTGTCTTGCCGCCAGGCACACCGGCTGTTCTACCTTCAGGTCAAGCAGGTACAACCGGTTTAGGGACCTCTTCACCTTGGCAAGAAGTCGCTACTCCCGGTCCCTGATCCTCAGGACTCCGTCCTTGATCAGTACCTCGCTACCGCGCTCATCCAGCTGACCAATACTGATGATACTGGAACGCAGCTGCGGGATGTAATATACATCTGTTAGCGCGCGGTGCTCTCCGTTCTGGCATATGAAGATGATGGTGTCGTGCCCTTGGATTGCCACCCTTGAGCTGTCACCAAACCTCACCGTACCAGTAACATCGTCATCGAGCTCAGAGAAGGATGCCTTGGAGCCCGTTATGTGGTTGCTGGCACCAGAGTCCAGATACCACCGCTGCTCCTGGTCGGCGCACACACGTCCGAGGTGGACTTGGGCGCGTGGTTCGTCGAGGTTGACGGTCTTCAGGACCTTCCCAGGTCCTTCCACCGTGGTTGCCTCTTCCCTCTCCTCGACCTCAACATCGTGAAGTGCACAGAACGTCGTCATTAGGATAGTGGCCTCATCCTTATCATCGGCTTACGCCAGGTGAGCCTGAGCCTTCTTCTTCTGCTTGCGATTTGGGCACTCCTGTGCCTAATGGCCCATCTTCCCGCAACGCCGGCAGGCATTGGGGTCGACCTGCTTCTTCTCCGAAGAAGCCTTGCCGCGGCGCTTGCCATCGCCACCGCGGCTGGAAGAGTCTGTCTTCCCGGAGTTCCTCCGAGCAACCCACTCCTCTTCCGTCAGCAGGAGTTTTCCGCTGTCCTTCGTTGCTATCGCCTGCTCCAGGCACTCGTCCATCTCCTATAGACGGCCTATCACATTCTCAATGGTGAGGGTGGACAAGTCCAGCATTGTCTCTATGGAGAGAGCGATCTGGATGTACTTTACCGGCACGGAGTGGAGGTACTTGGAGACTGCCTCCTCTTCATCGATGGTGACACCGTGGCTCTTTAGCTTCCTGATGAGTGTCTACAGGCAGAGGGAGAAGTCCTCCACCGTTTCACCATCCTTGAACTTGAGGTTGGTGAACTCCCGCTTCAAAAGCTAGGGCCGTCGCCTTTTTTGCGCGGTTAGAACCGACGCGCATCACCGCAAGAGCCTCCCATGCCTCCTTAGCCGAGCTCTTCGCCCCCAATGGCTCCCTGATACTCCGTCGGTACAGCAGCGAGGATAGCTTCCAACGCTGATATGTCATCTTCTTCATTATCGGTGCCCTTGTCAATAGCATTCCAAAGCCGTCGGGCTTTGAGCATGACCTTCATGGTCACCGACCACTCTCCATAGTTGGTGCGAGTCAGCGTCGGCCAACTGATGCTGCTGACCTCCCGCATCATGCGAACAATGACCTCCGGTCATGGCTGGGCAGCCACTGCTGTCGCCCATCTCCGAACCGCCCGTCATCGCCAGTGGTTAGTCTGGCGATGGCGCTTATACGACTCTGATACCACTTGTTGGCCCACAGGATCACCGACTTACGTGAGTGAACCACTCACCAGTCTTGCTGAGCACCCACTAGCCATACCGACCACAAACAAGCGTTGTCCGTCCCCACACACTATGGCCAGAGCTAGAAGAAGAAGGGAGAACAGAGCATACACACATAAGTACAAGATACCAGCGTTGGCCGAAACCCTGTCTGGGAGATGGCAAATATGAACTCTCTTTACTGAGTTGCCGTGTATGTCTATTTATACAACTCTATCCATCTAGTCCTAGTACAGCGCATATGTTGCAACAGTAACTAGATAACACAGCAGGGCTGACTCTGCGCCGGCCTCTACATGTGGTTATAGTGCTGCAGGTGAGCAGTTCGGCGCCTACACTTGTAGCGGCTACAGTATCATAGCAGAGGGCATTTTTCGGGGCCGTCTTCTCCTTGTTGTGTTCACACAAGGTAGCAGTATATTATCTAACACTGTCCACGTAGGAGAACTCCAGCAACACTAGTGAAGTACTGCAGAGCTATCAGGGCTCTAGGATATGGAAATTTCATGACTGCCCATTTGTCGATGATGCAGAGCAGCGACGCTGATAAACAATACCCAGCAGCCACACCATAGACTGGCTTGCTGCAGAAGAGTGTTCAATGTGTTACTCCAGACTCTAGTTCTCTGGGTAGTACCTGAACCCTAAGGTGAAGTATCTTCTTTT